GCCCCGATCAGATCTGGTACCTACACCGGCAAAGTTTGAAGGTTGACCTTCATGCAAACATGAAGGAAGATGGAGTTTCAGCAGATCAGCAATATATAGAGAAAGCTTGACCATGTAGGGCCGTAAAGGGGAAGACTGAAACCTTAAAACAAACTCTAAAACTTACTGGAACCCAGCAAACAGAAGCAAAGACAGAAGTAAAAGTGAGATCCTTATTGGTGCCAGTTTAAGGTCTTGTTGCAGCGTTTTACAGGATCTGAAGACAGTCCAAAGCTGATTTATTCAATCTGGAAAATTTAATGTTGAAATAAACTAAATAAGCAGAGTTAAAATCATCTCAAGTCCAGCTTTAGAAATGAAGAGACAGAGTTTTCAGATGTTCATAAAGTTATAAAAACTGCTCTAAACCAGATGTTTGGAGTAATTTTTAAACAACAACAGACTGTCAGAGAGGAAACCCAAAGTTCTTAAACTTGATTCATCAGTGAAGCCGATCTGTTTTCTGATACCTGGAATCATCTGGTCTGGAGCTGTTATCAACATTTCAGTTTCTCATTGTTTGAATGAAGAAAGTCAACATGTAGCCTGTGTTTGATATCTGTAAGGATATTTTGGATCCAAAAACAGAACCCTGAGGTACCCCACAGTACAGATCAGCTGAATCAGACATTCTCAGATTTAGACAGACAGTAAATGGTAGGTAGGATGTGAACGATTGTAAAACTGCTCCAGCAATTCCAAACAATTTCTGAAGCGTGCTGATCAGGATACTGTGATCAACAGCAGGAAAAATGAAGGAAAGATTCTGCAAAAAACTCCAGAATTTGCTGGCATTGAAATGTCATCAGAGACTTTAAATAAGGTGGTTCATGTAGAGAGCATTTTAAGGAAACCAGACTGGAAAATATACATCAGATTTGCTTTCTCCAAAATCCTTGTTATGCAAGACTGTTTGGATTTTGTCTGAAGCTATTAGAAAGAGATGGATCAGAATAAGGTTCCCTTAATAATGGTTCAACAACATATTTAAAGAAGCTGCAAACTGAACCAGCATGAAGATAAATATTAATTAATTAATTAGTCCAATATATTAAAGATCTGGATTAAAAAAGGAGCAGAGAGAGAATCAAGAGGACTGGATGGTGGTTTAATACGACGAAGTAAAGCTGTGATTTCTTGTGATATATAGAATCAAAGGGCGACTGAGTATAAGTTGGACACAAATTAAAAACATAACTTGGAGGAAATTATGGGAAATACTAAATCTAATGACAGCAGCTTTGCTCACAAAAAAGAAAAAAAAAGTTTATTGCAGTCAGACTTTGTGCAGACTGGAGCATGAGGGAAATAAAGTAAAACAATACTTCTGATGGACTGTAGAGATTTTACTATATTTAAGACATAAGATTTAAAACGTAGGTAGTTCTGGCATTTTTCAACGTGTCATTTAAGGAGAAAATTGACTGTTTCAGGTGAAGCCAATGAACTTCTAGTTTGGAAGATTTCAATA